TTTCCTGCTGCTTCCCTGAACCCACTTGAGGAGAACAGGCAGTCAACTGAAGTAGTAGGAGCCAGTTAGGCCATTAAGACGCTGATATCTTCCCTCATTCAGGGCCTGCTACCAGCCTGCTTATTTGTCCCCTTCAATTGAGTGTTCAGAGCCATTATAGCTGGCACAGAACAGCAGTCATGAGTGAAAGAAGAAAACGCCTTGGCAACAAAAGTCAAACAGAAGATTGTGGCAGATCTGAAGTCAGCAAGATATTACTCTGTTATTCTGGACTGCACACCTGACATCAGCCATACAGAACATATATGACTTTAATGGTGCGTTTTGTAACAACAACAGAACCTAGTGAAAGTGTCCTTGCAATGGTGACTGTCAGAGAGCATTTTCTAGAATTTATTGACATTGATGATACTACAGGAGCTGGTATGACAAATATGCTTCTTAAAAAGCTGGAAGATACGGGAATTGCGATAGCTGACATGAGAGGTCAGGGCTACGATAATGGTGCCAACATGAGAGGAAAGAACAGAGGAGTGCAGACACAGATCCGAGAGTTAAACCCTTGAGCTTTTTTTGTCCCATGAGTTTTCAAAGATAATGGCCAATGGCTCTGCAATCACATCCACCAACTCCTTTAGCACCCTCGCGACCACCACCACCCACCACCTCGTGGAACCTCCATCCCTAGAACAGTGCATCTCATGCCTTCCAATTGGTGGAGTCTCCTTCTGCTCCCTTACCTCAGATGTATCATCTAGTCCACTCTCCGCATTAGTACCTGTGGAGAGAACATGAAAACGGTTGCTCACCTGTATCTGCATTGCTGGTACATGGAAGCTCCTCTTTCTTCTTCTGGAGGTCACACGCTGCCAATTTTCTTCACCACCCTTCTGTCCCCACTGCGCAGCCTGCTATGATTCTTCAGAATGTTGTGCCCGTAGAAGCATATCCTGACATCTGTCCAGGAAATCTTCATTTTCTCTTATGCAATGCAGGGTCGATACTTGTTTCTCCAGACCTTGAACCTTCTCTTCCAATATGGAGACCAGCTTGCACTTTGTACAGACAAAGTCACTTCTATCCTGTGGAAGAAAGACAAACATGGCACATCCTGTGCAGGTCACAACAGCTGATCACTCACCATCCATATTACCTTCTTTCTAATGGCTTCCTCAGCTGTTGCAGTAATTACTCAGAGAAACCTGCAAGATGAAAGCCTCAGTGGGCACTCTGCAGTCAAACTCCCTCTGTTAGCCTCTCCACTGTTCGCCGCTCAGCTGGTTTGCAGCTGACTGCCTTTTTATAACAGTCAGGCCCACTCAAGGCCCACCTGGAACAAAGCACTCCCCGTTAATGGGGCAAAAAACAAAGCAGCTCTGCCAAAGAACCTGCGGCAGCAGATTGCCCAGTATCTCCATGAGAATTTCCTGGAGATCTCTGAGGGAGATTCCCGTGAAGTGAGGGAGTCAATCAACAGCCTGTTCCGCCGCTAAGACTGGGCATGCAGTGGGAGACAAGCCTGCTTTCTGCAACCCTCCTTCCCCCAAAAACTCACTTCAGTGAGTCCCAAAATCAAGTCCACTTACCAGGGGCCTCCTCTCCTGTTTGCACTTCACCAAGCTCCAACAGCTGTGACTGGCTAGTCTTCTCTGGGGTAGAAAAGAGCTTCTGGCTGCATGCATCTCTGACCTCCGAGTCATCCTCTGCCCCTGGGTTCCCCTCCAGCTCCACATCCTTGTCCAAGATTTCCTCCTCCTGGCTCGGTCCACTCTCAACTGGCACACAAGCCACCGAAGTATCCACAGTGGCCTTCGCAGTGGAGGTGGGGTCGCCACCGAGTAGCACGTCCAGCTCTTTGTAGAACCGGCAGCTCATGGGTGCAGCACCGGAGCGGTGGTTTGCCTCCCCTACGCCTTGTGGTAGGCGTTCCGCAGCTCCTTCACTTTGACCCTGCACTGCAATGTGTCCCGGTCATGGCCCCTTTCTGTCATGCATTGTGAAATCTGTCCATATATATATCATAATTCGTATGGCTGGAGCGCAGCTTGGACTGGACAGCCTCCTCTCCCCAAATGCTGATGAGGTCCAGCAGCTTGGCATTACTCCAAGCAGGGGATTGTCTGGTGTGTGGAGCAGGTGTGGCCACCTGGAAAGATGCGCTGCACGCATCACTGAGCAAACAGGAAGGGGACTTTCAAAATTCCAAAGTAATTTACAGGGTGGGGATGGTGGTTGGTCACCTGAGGGCAGGGCAGTAGAGTTCAAACTGATGACCAGAGAGGTGAGAACAGGCATTGTGGGACACCTCCCACAGGCCAATCGCAGTGCTGTAATCGACCACAGTGTCTACATTGGCACCTCAGCGCTGTAGCTCCAGTGCAGAAAGCTGTACACCTCTCGTCGGGGTGGGTTTTTTACAGTGCTGCAACTGCGCAGTTTCTGCGCACTAAGTGGCTTGGCAGTGTGTACACCTCAGGAGTTACATCGCAGAAAGCTGCTTTACTCCCCAGAAACTTGCCAATGTAGACAGGGCCTAAACCTTCCATGCAAAGGCCCGATTCTCAGCCCACGGAAGTCAGTGGGAAGACTCAATGGGCTTCAGGATGAGGCCCATATTTTCTAATGGCCAGCAAGTGGAAATTCTTGGCTTACGAGCGCTGAAACATGTTTTCTGCAATGCTTTTAATTTTTGGTTTTAAAAACACTTAATCTAAACTCATATTAAAACCATTTTAGCCTAACCTGAAGCCTTTTAAATCCATTTTAGCAAACAGTATCCCAGTACAAGTGTGGAAGGGGCCATGGTGACAGAATGAAAGTACCCCAGCTAAATCTACCATCTGCATCAAAATAGTGTCCATGCAGCTATAGTAAAGTTTAGGTTAAAAAAATATTTGAATAACTAACTCTTTTATGCCTACTTATAATAATAAGTTCTCATAGAGCTGGAAGGAACCCTGAAAGGTCATTGAGTCCAGCCCCCTACCTTCACTAGGCAGGACCAAGTGCTGATTTTGCCCCAGATCCCTAAGTGGCCCTCTCTAGGATTAAACTCACAACCATAGGTTTAGTAAGCCAGTGCTTAAACCACTGAGCTATCCCTGCCCCCCCTTACTGCACTCTGTATATATACAAATCAAGTTCAGCAATTAACTTATCTCAACCCCAGCCTTGAAATCAGAGACTATACCAATGCTGACAGGTCAGCTGGTTTCCTTTTGTAGCCCATAACTGATCTTCAGTTGATTAGTAACTAAAAGTCAATCTGATATATAGGGCCACCCAAGGCCCCTAAACTAGCATGACATCCATTCTGTAAAGGCTAATTGCTGACCTTCTTTACTTTCAGACTGCAGGATGCTGGGCATAAGAAGATTTATAGGGAAGGCCCCAGAGTCTGCAAGAAGAGAGGAGGCTTAGAGCATAGGACTTCAAGAAAATACAAAATCTAGGCCAGGGGTAGGCAATCGCTGGCACGCATGCCGAAGGCAGCACACGAGCTGATTTTCAGTGGCACTCACACTGCCTGGATCCTGGCCACCGGGCCGGGGAGCTTTGCATTTTAATTTAATTTTAAATGAAGTTTCTTAAACATTTTAAAAACCTTATTTACTTTACATACAACAATAGTTTAGTTATATATTATAGACTTATAGAAAAAGAGCTTCTAAAAACGTTAAAATGTATTCCTGGCACACGAAACCTTAAATTAGAGTGAATAAATAAAGAATCGGCACACACTTCTGAAAGGTTGCTGACCCCTGATCTAGGCTATCTTCAGAGTCCAGCTATTGCCTGGCTAAGAATACACAGGACCACCATTTTGAAGGGTCTTTATAACTATGTCTGATATGTGCAAGAATATAAATTTTGAATGCACAAAAAATCATAGACCATATCCTTAACAGGTATAAATCGGCATTGCTTGACTTGAAATAAAAGGAGCTACATCAATCTACAATAAGTTATTATCTGGCTGCAAATGGATATTTGCATGCATAAATCAAGTAATTGCATGCACAAATTGGTTAACGTGATTTGCATGTGTAACTATCCACATTAAATAGAGAGGACGTTTTTGAACAAATAGATGTTTGTTGGTTTTTTGTTTTGTTTTTCATGTGCAAACAGACATACTCAGACACTGAAGATTTTGTTAATAATAAAGCAAGAAGGGGAGAAATGACCTTGTTCTCACTGAGTAACCTCATTTTTCTGTTTTGTTCCATAGGAAATCTCTTGGTTTGATGATAAGAAAAACAACACTGGAGCTCTGACAACAAGATTAGCCACAGAGGCAGCACAAATTCAAACAGTATGTACCGTATGTGTGTATGAGAGAGCTTTTTGTATCTATATAACACTAACATTAAATATGGATCATTCTGCCAGGTTACTTACAACACGACACTATCTGTAAAGCTAGGGACAAGCACACTATTCAGCTGTTAGGAGGTCAGTGACCATTAGCACTGGATCATACTAGTGGAAGGAAGAAAGCAGATTTAGGGAGAGATGGACAAGACTGGGAAGAGAGAAAGCAGGGAGGCCAAGAATGTTAGGATTACTGATAAAGGTGGAGGAGAGGGGATGGAGAGAATTAGATTTAGAATGAAGGGACAAAGGGAACGCTAGGGAGTTGTGAGCAAGGGAGGAGGGGTAAGTGAAGCAAGTATTGTGCAGTACATAGAGAAGGGTCTGAACTCCAAGTTTGGATTTGGATATGAACTTTCTTAAAGTTCATGAGTGTTTGGATATAGGGTTGTTGTTCGGCCCTTTGTAATGATACAGGGCAAACTTGGAGTTCAGCAGAGTTCAGATCTGGCGTTTCAGATTAGCCTGTCTCTAGAATGGGGTTTCAAACACAGGGCCAGCTCTAGGTTTTTTGCCGCCCCAAGCAAAAAAAATTTGGCTGCCCCTCCCCTACCCCCCGCCCTGGGATCTCACTTCCCCCCACCACCACCAGTGCCCTCCCCCACCTGCACCCCCTGCTGCCCCAGCCCTGGGCTTCCCCCCACCAGTGCTGACTCCGCCCGCTCCCCCCTCGCCTCCAGCCGGTCCGGCGCTGGCAGGGTCGGGGTAAGCAGTGGGGCTCCCAGGCCCCGCCTCAGCCCAGGGTCCCTCCAGCCAGGGCTTCCGCCCCCAGGACCGGCCGGGACCTGGGCCGGGGACCGCCCCGGCAGGGGGCTGAGAAGCTGGGGCAGGGTAGCCCCAGAGGGAGCAGAGCCCCAGAGAGTGGGACACGGGCCCCACATGGCAACGCCCTGCCTCTATGGCCCCATTGCTGCTTTTGGCCGCCCTGCCGCAGTCCCTGGGCGGCTC